CAAGGCCCTGTGTAGTCACCAAGAAACAACAAATACCTGCCACCATTGTTTGACCTGAGTTCAGAGCCCGATGAAGGCCTCAAAGCATACCCAGGGAAGGAAGTGCTCCTTCAGGAACTTGCACTGCACATTTTCAGATGTTCCCAGTATTAATTAATGTCCCCAGGCCCTGATCCCAGCTGAAAGCAATTTTACCAGAGACATTGGGTGAGGATGTTTGCTGGAACCACCTCTTCCAACTGGGATTGTTGATGAGTCCTGAGCCCAACCCAAGCTGCTTCAGCTTCTGTGACTTTGCATGCAAAAGGGCTGGCCAAGGCTTTTGGGTGGACTCTAAACCAACACTCCTTAATTATTTGTTCAGCATTTTTTTTAGAGTCTGGGCAGTGACTGAGGCAGAGTGAGAAGGAGGGTGGCAGGAGGCTGTACTGTCTCCAGGAATTCAGTTTAGACCCTGCTCTGGAAAATAAATGCCTTAGGGAGAAAAAGTAGTCCAACCCCTGCTTGGAGGGCAGACTAGCCTCTACCCCCATTCTAATCCACTTAGTAGGGGATCCCTGGCTGGCTCAGCAGTTTAGTGCCTGCCTTTGGCCCAGGGCATGATCCTGGAGTCCTGGAATCGAGTCCCACATCAGGCTCCTGCATGGAGCCTGCTTCTCCCTCTGCCTGTGTCTCTGCCTCTCTCTCTCTCTCTCTCTCTCTTTCTCTCTCTGTCTCTCATGAATAAATAAATAAAATCTTTTAAAAAATAATCCATTTAGTAAAGCAAGAGTAGCTAGTAAATAGCATGTTTTCCCCATGGCATTGGATTTTCATTGATGTTTGTGACTCCTTCAATGTCAGCACCCCAGTCTCTGCCTAGCTAACGCAGCCCTAACCAGCTGGGTACAGAGCTCATGCTGGTGCCTCTACTCAAGAGAGCATGAAAGGTTTAGCTTATTACCTGGAATACCAGGGGAACATCAGTTGTTTCTGGTTTTGCAGTGATGTTAATATGGGCAGAGGACAGCCATGTGTCAGGAACCCTAATAGGATAATCCTAGCAGCTCCAAGCTCCTGTTTTCTAGGCATTAGTGGCATGTGTGCCAAAATAAAGTTATCTTAAACAAGCAGGCACAAAGAGAGATAGATAGGTAACCACATGCTAGATGTTCACTTCCCATAAACAAAGTTACTGCTGGTCAGAAAGGAATAATATCCTTGGTTGAGGAGTACATTCTCCTCCCAGTTGAGTGAGTAACCAATTATGAAATATTTATTGAGCATCTACTTTGTGCCCAGTGCCATTCAAATGCTGAGGAAGAGAACTAATGAGTGAGTAAGGCATACAGAAAAAGGATGAAACAGTTCCTACCAATGAGCCCATCTGGTTGAGAAGCCAGAGCAACACATGAAAAGTGTACCAACAACCAGCCATATTGTGATGCTGCTGGGCTCAAAAGGGGGTGATCAGTGGGAACAAAGGTCTTTGTGGAAGACTGGGCAGGGTTTAGTTGGACTCTCAGGATTCCAGTCAGGATGAACTGATGGAGAACTCAGCCCCAAGGCCATCGGTATGAGATGGCCAAGGCTTGCTTATTTGAGCTTACAAATGCCTGGACCTTTGGCTGATCTTCCTGTGGGCCTGCAGGAATAAGGTCATACTCAAGAATTTCAGCCCCGTATGAGGCAAACTCCCATTGATATTTGTAGGCTGTCATCACCATGTCTTGGCCCTAGTATGAATTCTTATCTTTCACGGTGATGAATCCAGGGTGCCTGACCTCAGCTTCAGACCCCACAAGGGATTCCTCTAACACCTGTGGTCTAAACCTCCAGCAGCTGGGCTGCCACATTCAGAGCCCCATCCCTGCAGTCAATGGCAGGCTGATTATCAGCTCCCTGGAGCTATTTCTAAAGGACCATTTCTATGTGCATAATAACAGCAATTTGCATAATTACAGAGAGTCATAAAGAGTTTTCAATTGTCTAAGAAAAATGGAATTTAACTTATAGAATAGGTCAGGTCTGAAAGGTAACTTGGAATCTGAACAGTGTTCTAGCTGGCAAACCAGAGACTGTACTTGGGGAGCTTAGGAAGAAGCCACAGCAACATACATTGTTTAAGCAGTGCTCAAACCAGAGCAAGCTGGTATCATGTGTAGGTTTGCTCTCTTACTTTTCCATTAATCAGTCCTGAGAGCAAAAGGTGAGGGGAAGGTAGTTCAAGAGGGTAGCCAGCCAACCACCGCACAGTTTTGTGTTCAGTGAACTGTGGCGACTCGCTGCAGTTAGCAATACTCATTCTGAGGAGAAACACTTTTGATTAAACCTTTCACTTTTGCACGGAAAAGATTTCTTAAGATTGATGCATTTCCAAATAGTAAAAATCAAATATCCTATTCAAATTCAAATTAAACTAAAGCAAAAATTTGCATTTCTAGTGGAATTCAGACAGTTTCTTTTGCAGAGGCTTAGCAATACAAAAAGGTACATGTGAAAGAAAGTAGTATTTAGTTCAGGAAGCCTGCTGAGTGAACCTAGAGCAGCTACTCCACTTACTCTCTCTGGTCCTCAGCTTTCTCTTCCGTCCTCCCATGACTCTAGGTCTCTGGGTGTCCCTCCCCACCCCCTCTCCCTTTTCTTCCATTTGGAGCAGAATTTGAAATCATGTCTAGTCCAAACCTCTCATTTTACAGATAAAAAAGGCCAGCCTCACCCCAGTTCACCCAGAGTAACTCAATTTTTATTTGTTTTATATTTTGGGGTTTGGCAATTTATGTGGGAAAAAGAAAAATCTTATGACTAATGAACAGTTTGAAAACCACTGGACTAGACAACTGTTCTAGTTCATTCTATGTTCATTTGTGTAGAAGCAACAGGGGTCTGTATTATTCTAAGTGTGAGAGTAATTGTGAAGGTATGATGTTTGGGTTCCCAGGGAGAGTTGGGCCATTAGACCTATCTTTTGAGTTCTATAATGTTAGCATGCTCTCTTCTCTCCCTCTGAATTACTAAAAACCTAACAAAGTAAAAAAAAAAATCACTCACTATTCCAACATATTTTTAAAAACTGTATACACTGAGAAGTGAAAATCCCCTTTTATTCTCCTGATCTCAGCTGCCTGGAGAAAAAAAGATTCTCAATTAATGGTTTGGTTCATTACGCGCTCAACTTTTCTTTGTGCTTATCCAGACTTTTCTAGATATCCTTTTTTAACCAGAAAGTTGTATTGTGTGTTGTGGCTCTGACTGCACCTTGCTTAAGAGTATGCTAAGGACATCTTTCCAGATGAGGACATATCATTCATAGCATTCTTTTTCATCTGCTTAACAACTGCCTTATTGATGAGCATTTAGGTTGTTTGCATTTGCCATCACAACGTGGCCATGAGCATTCTCGTCCAGGATAGCCTTATGTTAAAAGGAAAACTGCAGGCCCCAAATGGCATCACTTAGGCCAAGTCAGCAAACCAAGACTTACTACCTAACCTAACAGCAGTTTCAACACCTCCACCCCCACCACAACCAAGGAATGTAATCTTCAGCTAGCCAACGTGGAATTTCCTGGTCAATATTAGATTTACTTATAGACCCCTTTAGCTCCCCTTAAGAGAGCAACCTTGCCTAACCAATGCATTCTTTGCTAATAAATTCCTTTCTTCTTCTTTTTTAATGCCTTCTCTCTACCTTTAAAACCCTTTCTTCTGTTTAGCTCAGCAGAGCACCCCTCTACTTGCTAGATGGGATGCTCCCCATTCATGAATCATTTAACAAAGCCAATTAAATCTTCAAATTTACTCAATTGAATTTTGTTTTTTAATAGATTTGACAGCAGTGGTGGGATCTGAAGCTGATTTCTGATGGCATTCGGGGACAATGAGAAATGCAGTCCTGGTGCTCTGCGAGCTTTTGGGTTCACTGTCTTTCTCGCTGTTTCTGAGGGCCTTTGGTGGGTCTCTCTCATTTTTTTGTTTGTTTAGGTTTTTTTTTTTTTTTTTTTTTTTTTTTTTGCATTTGAGCTACCAATCTAATTGGCTTTCTAGTCCAGAGTTAACAGGTCAGTCTAAATTGATGGGAGGCGCTACCAGAGCACCAGTCCTTAGCCCTCGGTTCAGTCCACAGTTTCATGTTGGGATCCCTTCCCACTTCCAGTCTACAGTCCCTGTTTGCTGGGTTAGTCCATGCTGGGAATGCTGTCGGTGTACATGCCTTCTCTTGGCCAGTCCATGGTACCTTCTTTTGGTTACTGCTGGTGTGTTTAGGTGCTCATGTTTGTTTTGTCTTGAGTTGTGTAAATAAAGCATTAGCTGATAGCCTACAATGTTGGAGGCCAAATAGAAATGTGAGCTGCCCCCCAGGCATGGCTAGATATGGCTGGACAGAAATGTAAGTTAACTCTATTTGCAGCTAGGGTCCTCCCAAACTGCTGCCAGCTTTCAGAGGAATTACAACCTAGAAATACAATGGCCATGATGGGGAATGTTCCAATTAGATAAGATCATTGACATTGATCTTGAAAGCAAGGGTTGCCAAATTAAACAGAACGGGATACCTGTTTTAACTGCAAGCAGACATCTCTAAAAGGTTTCAGAATTCCAAAATAGTTCATCAAAAGAGTCATTGCAAAAGGCTAAAGGAAAATTAAAGATGTAAGAGGTGGTTTAAAAAAAACAACAACATAAGACTGACGTAACGCCTACTGTTCCCCGCTTTCCTCTGAGTACTCATTCTACTAATCCTGTCTGAATTGTTTTTTTCACTCTAAAAAGACTATACAACTGTAAACAAAAGGCTGCCAAATTAATGGCCTTAGAGACACCCCCATCTCTTCCTTCAAAAGAAGGCCCATAAATGGGGGTGTCTCCCTACCAAGGTTGACAAAACTGGGGTTTCCTTATTACAAGCTGCTAATTAATTATTCATTTAAACAGTCAAGGGGACACTCTGGTAGATACCAGAGCCTGCAGAGGGGATCTGAGGAACACTGGCAGAAGCCAGTAAGAGGTGAAAATTCTTACCAGAAACAGTGCTTCTGAATCTCTGTCTGTAGTACCCAGTCAAGAGAGGAAAATAAAATATCACGTTGTGTCTTCCTTTCCAAATCCCAAACCATTGTTGATTGATCCTTTCTTTCCCCGAGGATACTTACTGCCTTCTAGCCTGTCTTATTTTGCATAAATGGGTTTGGCTTTCTGCCTGACTGGGACAAGCAGATTGCTGGTTCTTTCTTTTGGGCTGTGTTTGGGAGTGGTTCTGGATTTGGGGGAAAATAATACCCTTTGTATGCTCTTTGGGGACCTGTCTTATACCCAAGAGGAGTTATGCAATACTGCCAGAAGAATTTAAAATTAGAAGTATGTATCCAAAAGGAAAGAAACCAATTGAGAATAATGTAGTGGCATGGGTGGCTCAGTCTTTGATGTCATTTAAGTTATAACCCAATTCTTGGAGGAATTGAAAGCAATTATCCTACTATTACAAATTTTTCACAAAACAGAAGTTAGCTCAAGAGGGAATTTAAAATTCACCTATTCCTTTGCCAATCCCTTGTTTATCTCAAAAGACTTGTAAATTATTAGCTTTAGAAAACCCAAGCCCTTCTTAGGAGAACTTCCATTCTTTCTCCGTCCCTTGATGTATACATTAAATCATGTCTTTGAAATATAGACACAGCCCACAATCACCTGAGACTGAAGGAAAAAAATGAAAGGGAATGAGGCCTTTTATTGTTTGTTTTTTCTTCTGAACCAGATTAGTTTCTTACTCTACCTCCCCTCTAAACCCCTCACCCCAATTCTAGACACCATCCCCAACTGGTCCCATATTTAATATTGTAGAAAGTAACTCCCACTATTATTATTCCAATGTCCACCTTTATAGTGAATGGCAGTTTAAATGTCTGACCGGCCCCCTAGATTTTAGCTCTAAAATGTACAGAAGTGTGCTCAGTTCTCACCTGTAAATTGGGACAAATTTGTTCTTTTACTATAAATTAAATATAACTACACGTGAAGCTCCTAAAATCAATTTAACAATGTCAGTTTTTATATCTTTCCATCAGAACAAGATACAAAGCAAAACTGTGTTAGTCATAACTCTGCAGAATATTGAAAAATATTTACAACCCAAGGATTTCGTGTACCATAGTAACATTGGAAATGTTAACCTAAGATTATCCCTCAATACATTTCCTTATTGATCCCAGGATATCAAGTTGTTCCAGGAAAGGAAGGACACAAAAGTATCCTAAAAGAGTTAAGCTTCTAAACAGATACTTTGTTATTTTGGTTAGACACACATAACATAAAATTCACCCTATTGTTTTATTTATTTATTTGTTTGTTTATTTATTTATTTATTTATTTTTAAGATTTATTTATTCATGAGAGACACACAGAGAGAGGCAGAGGGAAAAGTAGGCTCCATGCAGAGAGCCTGACATGGAACTCGATCCCAGGACCCTGAGATCAGGCCCTAAGCCAAAGGCAGACATTCAACCACTGAGCCACCCACGCGTCCCAAAATTCACCCTTTTAAAGGGTAATTTTGTGGTGCTACTTACACTTGCAGTGCTGTACAACTATCATCAGTGTCTAGTTCCAGAACTTTTTCAGCCCCCCAAAAGGAAACCCTGTCCCCTTGAGTATGAACTGCCCCTTCCCCACCCACCCCACGTCTCGTAGGGTGGCAATCTATTAATCTGCTGTCTCTCTGGGTTACACATGCTTAATTAATCTCATCCCAGAAAATGGATTTAAAATCCAATGCTCTGAAATTTTCAAGACAAAAGCTTTTAAGAGAAAAAAAAATTTAGGAGGTCCTCAACTTAGCTTCCAAAGGCAGGAACCACTCTGATATTTTGCTAATATACTTTTTTTTTTTTTTTTTTTTTTTTTTTTTTTTTTTAGAAAGGGAGAAGTGGGGAGGGGCAGAGGGGGAGAGAGACTCTCAAGCAGTCTCCATGCCCAGCGCTGAACTCCCCATGAGGCCTGATCTCATGACCCTGAGATCATGACTTGAGCTGAAATGAAGAGTCAGATGCTTAACTGACTGAGGCCACCCAGGCATGCCACTGCAGATATCCATTTTATTCCAAGAAGGACAGCTACAAAAAGAATGCAGCCCCACTTTCCTTCTAGCTATAGGTCAAGAGTCCACCTGAAGGACTGCAGAGGAAAGGACTGGGGGGACTTAATGTGCCAGTGAGAAAGAAAGAAGTCAATTGAGAATAATGTAGTGGTGCCACATGGCACTCAGAGAAGAGGGCTTTCACCCTGACCAGGCTAGTAGGTTGACATCAGGTCCTTAACCAAAGGTTTGACTTTATCCTGTGGATAGCAAAACTCCAGTGATGTTTTTTAAGCAACAGTATGGCATGTTTAGAAACCTACTGAGGAAAACCACATCCCATACAGAAGAATTCACAGCTAACACATTTCCCTGAAATCCATAGTGGTCAACTTTGGTCATATTTCACACCAATCGGGAAGGTTGCTTCAGCTCAATGTCATTGAATTCCATGCTTCAGTTTAATGAGCTGTGAGGTTGGGCACCTGGATGGCTCAGTGGTTGAGCATCTACCTTCAGCTCAGGGCATGATCTTGGGGTCCTGGGATCCAGTCCCACATCGGGCACCCCGCAGGGAGCCTACTTCTCCCTCTATGTCTCTGCCTTTCTCTGTGTCTCTTATGAATAAATAAATAAAATCTTTAAAAAAGTAATAATAATAATTAGCTGTGGGGTCTTGGGCAAGTCAGTCAGCGTTCTGGGGAAGATAATCCTCTGTAACTTGGGAACAATAAAACCTACCTCTTGCATTGCCTGAGGATAAAATAAGAGGATACCAAGGAGAAACCTGGCACAGTGTTACTGGTTGGAGTGACTAACATTTAGAACCTCAGTTCTCAACCAAAGGTGACTTTTGTACCCATTCCTCTTGCCCCTGAGGATGTTAGGCAATATCTGGAGATGTTTTTTGTTGTCACACACCCCCGGCTTAGGGAGCAAAGCCTTTAACATATAAACAGTTAAAAGGGCTCTTATACCTAAACTCTAGCACAGCCTCTTTAATTCCAGGAACAAACACAAGCCTTAAAAATCTTCTCCACAGATATTAATAAGGCTTTTGCCATCCTGATGTCCTTATAACACATGGCAACAGTCTGCTCCTAAATCAGGGAAATTAAGATGAGTGAACAGTGGCTCTACATGAAAAGTAGACTTTTTCTAAATGAAAAGTCGAGGCTATGGGAAAGCCCAGATCACTTGGTCCTTCCTAGCTCCCTGGAAAACCCCACTTTTTGTTTTTGCATTCCTTCACCCACAGTAATGCATTTAAGAAGACTCAGATTATGAATAGACATTGATAGGGAGACTTCTATCAAATTGCAAAAGCAGTCTACCAGCTACCTTCTGACTTGTCAGATCCATCCATAATCCTGAAAAAAAAAAAAAACTTTTTATTCCCAGAGACCTCAGACCTCCATCTGGACCCTTTCGACACTTGCTGCTGAACTTCATTCAACTGCTTTTTCGTTTGGGTTATCGATATGTTCTTTGTACAATATGTGTGTTTTCCAGATGAGCTAAAGCTTCCCCCAGCTGCAAGGTTAACGCCCTTCCTCACAAGAGCAAAGAAACTGTCAAAAAGTACATTTTCCACTTGGAGTATACCTTCTATGATCTCCAGTGATTAAGGACCCACTTCACTGGACGAATCATATAAACCTTAATTAAAACCTTATAAACTTCTTAAAATTTGATCAGGATACAACCTTCTGCTTGTCCCTTGTCATGTTATACTGAGGTCTCTAATGTCTTAAACTCAAGCCTGAGGTCTCTAATGTCTTATACTCAGGCGTATCATCAATAGGTTACAGAAGCCTTCCCAGGTCCCACTTCAGAGAATCTAAATTGGCCACAAGTTAGAGCCTGATTGGGTGTTCTGAAAAAGACAGTCCTCAAGCCCCATTGGAAAGGGGATCTTACCAAGTGCTCCTGACCACTGACACTGCTGCAAAACTAGAAGGTATTGGAAAGTAACTCCCATTATTATTATTCCAATGTCCACCTTGATAGTCAACGGCTGTTTAAATTTGTGGGTACACATCACACGGCTAAAGAAGATTCCACCTGTACAGAATCTGGAGACCTCTAAATCAGATTGACAAGGAAATAAAGCAGCTGAAATCAAGGTGGGCTGCTTCCACCCAAGAGGACAGACCAAAACTTCATACTTTAAGCATTAGATCCTTTCTCTTTATTTTCCTTCCCTTTACCCTGGCTTTGGCCTGGAAAAATAACACCCTCATTTTTCTCTCTCAGACGATTATCAGGGTGAGTAACCTCTGGAATTTAGAACAACATTTTATTTTGGCCAGAAGATTCTCTAATTGCCCTACTTCCCTGGTTAGGGATAAATATAGAGACTAACTTCATAATTCTTGAAATTATTGCAGAATCTGGTGCTAAGATCCTTGGATTCTTAGATTCTCTAGCCAGCAAAGATCCTTAGGTTCTCTGGCCAAAGTTGTTCTTGATGAAAAAATAACCTTTGACTCCCTTTGAGTGGAGCAGGGAGGTGTCTGTGCTGTGGCCACCACCACCCACTGTAATGGATGAACGCTTCTGGAAAAGCTGAAACTCAGTTATGTAAGATTACTGAGCAAGGCACTTTGAGGCAGGAGGGGAAGGAAGATGCAAGAGACAAGTTAACCAAAGTAAAGCCATTTTGGCTGACCCTTAACTTAAAAGTCAGAAGGTCATAAAAAAAGAGTCATAGGATCTAACTCATGGAAGACCACCAGACCCCACTCCCTCTAGCGGTAAAAACCACAAAGGCTGGACATTTTTAAAATTACTCCCTGTAGGTAATTGCACAACCCAAGGACAATGGAAAAATTAACCGCCCGATGTCAATGATAAACCCAAAGTTAAAGAGTAAGCCCCTCCAACTAGTTGGTTAGCTAACTTAAAAAATGTAGAAAGCCTTTTGTTAGAGGCATAGGAGGATCCTTTTCCCCCTCTAGGAGGAGAGACTGCTACGTTGTGAAGATGCTTCTGTTGTTTCTGACTTCTATACTTGATAAATCTTTGTGTGAAGATGCTTCTGTTGTTTCTGACTTCTATACTTGATAAATCTTTGTCACATCTTCTAAATGACTTGCTCTTGAATTCTTTCTCAAGCAAAGCCAAGAACTTCATGGGGAGGAACCCGAGGCCCTCCTTCCCATTTGGACTGTCTTTCCTCCCATCACTACCACATGTTGTCCCTGCTAAGAGCAAGTCCCCATACAACGTGATACATCCCTGTCCTTTACTATATTGACCTTACTGGGGAGATGACCATGACAGGCCATGGTATTTCTTCTGGAGAGATGATTCCACCTCAGTGACATGTCGACCAAAGGGTACACTAAGCCTGAGTTCTCAGGGGTACCATTCTTTATATGGCACTCAGGGTGACAGCCATTTGTTCCCATAAAATGTGTCCTTGAAATAGTGTTGGTGGGTTGGGAGGGCCTTCCCACCACTGCTATGGAGCTTTATCTGCACACCTCACCTGCCCTCTTTCCAGCACCATCAGATTCTCACATCAGAAACCCAGGCTAGCAATTTATTGTCACTTTCAAGATAAGCTCTCCCTTTCAAGACCACTGACATACTTTCCTACTTGAACTATAGCTCCCCGGTGGAGAAGTTCTAGGTCTGGGAGCAGGCTCTGTTTTATCCATAGGGGATAGAGACAAAACAGAGCAAATTCAAAATGCTTCCATTCTTTGGGAGGCAGGGGTAGATGATAAAGAAATGCAGACATAAGTAAAATACCATTGGATAACGATGAGCGTGACAGAGGCAAAAAGCCAGGTGAGGTGATGGAGAGTGGCTGCTGGGGCTATTTTCAGCTGGGTAGTTGGGAAAATGTTCCTGATGAGGTGACATTCGAGCTGAGGTCTCAGAAAGATGTGAGCACAGCCTACAGGCAGAGCCAAGGCCAGAGACAATGGTCGGTCGGTGTGACCAAGGGCTAAGTGGTGGAAGCTGGACTCTGAGAGGGGGCAGGGCCACATCATGGACAGTTCATGCTTGACACCCCCAGGACAATGAGCAGTACGGCCTCTCCCAGCTTCACCATTCTCAAGTCCTAAACTAAGATTTAGAAAGTTCTTCAATGCCAAATGTGATTAATTTGGCAACCTAGGTTGTGTGACAATCAATTTGACTCCTCTTATTTTGATCGAAGTTCTTAATCATTATCAGAAAAAAACAGTTTCTGACTTTCTTATGGCCACACCTTTTCATATGTTACACACCCCGCCACCCCTCCTCCCACAATTCTATAGCTCAAGTTTGTTAGAGGAATATTTCTGCATGAAGATTAACACAATTCACTGACAATTCTCAATTGACATTTAGCATATAAATGGAGCCAAAAGGTCAGGAAATGAAACTCCTTTCTTCATCATCTTTTATAGATGCTGTGCCTACCCTGGGCCCATGATGAGGAGGAGAGAGAAAGGCTAATTTTCCCTATTGATGCTTCTGTTGTTTCAAACTATTCCTTCTGCTGTGATCCCCCAGGCAACAAATGAAGCATTGTGAAGTGTTTCATGGTTCTCTCAATGGGCAATTATACATTTTTTAAGATAATAAATCTTGTCCATAGTGCAGCTGATTACATTCATTTATGAAAATGACTAAAAATAGGGACTCGAAATTTCTTCTGTCTGGTTGTGTTGAGAGAATCTTCAGAGCCATAAAAGAAAGCACGGCGGACCTGGCATCAGGAGAGCTGAAGCTAAGTCCAGCTCTGCTATGAGCAAGTGATGTGACCTTGAATAAATGATGTCACCCCTCTAAGCCTCTGTGTTCTTACTGGTTCAAAAGGGAGAGGAACACTTAACAATATACTTTGTCTCAGAGTTGATGGGGCCGGTGTGTTATGGGAAGAAGCACCTCCAGTTCTTTACTTGGGAGGACAAAATATACGTTTGTTTTATTATTCATCTTTAAGTTGTACGCATTTCATATATCTGTGATATGTATGTTTCTCAATAAATTTCCAAAGCTGTCAATAAATACCTGTTGATATACTTGGCAAAGGAAACACAGTACAAATTTTCCTCTGGATCTCCTAGCAAACAGATTAAGCCTATGTAGAAGACAAAACAATTTTTCCCCTTAAATCAAAACATGTTCTTTTTAAAAGGAGTTTAATTGAAAGAGTAATCAGTGAAAATGCCCAATGAAACAAAAGAGCGTATCATACTTAGTTCGGCTTCCTCCCACCCTGGTTCTCCATTTCCCCCCTTCTCACTTGAGGCTTCTTAGGTTTCCTTTTTTTTTTCTTCTTAGGTTTCTTTCCAAAAATATTCTGGAAAGCCAAAAACAGATAATCTTGAAAGCAGTAAAAGAGAAGCATATAGAAACATTTGTGTGCATACCATTTTTTTTACATAAATGAGAGTACATTATGCATGATGCTTGATACTTTGCTTTTTCATTTATTTTGGAGGTATTTCAATATCATTCTTACAGATTTAAATGCATTATTTTTCACAGTATTTCATTCTATGGATAAGCTATACTTCATTTTACCAGACCCCTCCGATAAATACTTAGATTATTTTTGCTCTTGCCCACATTTCTGCAATAATCCTCTTTGTACTTCTATCTCCTCACACATATATGAATCTATCTAAAGAATAAGTCCCAAAGAGCAAATGATGGGTTAGAAGGTAGACCCATGAAAATTCTAGTAGGTATTGCCAAACTGCCCTCCAAAGGGATAATATGCCTTCACACTTGGTCAACAGGACAAGACAGGGCTGCTTTCCTGCCACTCCCATGATATGCGCTCTGTTAGCTGTTTTATTAACAAATCTAAGAGATGGGAAATAGTGCTTTATCATTTGAATGTATTTCTTTACAAGTGAAAATGAGGCACTCCTCTTTTCCTCTGAATTTCCTGTTTGGGTCCATCGCCCATTTTTCTTCTGATTTCTTGTTCCTTATTGCTTTGTTACATCTCTCTATATACTAGCCCTTTGTAGTTATTTTTCAAGGTCTGTGGTTCTCATTTGTTATTGCTTGTAGTATTTTGCCTATTGCAGAAATTTTAAATTATTAGTTGAATGTATACATTCTTCCTATATAATATGGGGGTAGTTTATTTCTTCGAAAATTCTTTCTTAATGCTATTATAAATTTTTTCCAAGTTTTCTTCCAGTGCTTTTCCAAGTTTGTTTTTCACTTTTAACTGTTTTATCAATATTACTTAAGGAACTTATTTAGTGTAGGGAGTGAAGTAAGGATTCAACTTTTTGTCTTTCTCCCAGATGTCTATCCAACTGTCTCAAATCCATTTCTTTCCTTTTTAAAAATATTTATTCATGAGAGACACAGAGAGAGGCAGAGACATAGAGGAAGAAGCAGGTTCTTTGCAGGGAGCCCAATGTGGGACTCCATCCCTGGACCAGGATCATGCCCTGAGCCAAAAGCAGACGCTCAACTGCTGAGCCACCCAGGCATCCCTCAAATCCATTTCTTAACTAATAAGTTTTCTCTCCATGGTTTTCAAATGTCATATTTGGGGGATCTAAAAACTACTGAATCTATAAGTTGAAAACAATTGGATGGTAAACTGATAAATTTGCTAAGTCATTCTTGGCATGGGTAAAGAGCTATCTAAAACAATAGCATAAACAGAGTATGCTTACCATGTGTACTCGCTCATTCAATCCATATAACTGTGGTATAAAGTAGGTGCTATTAGCTCCATTTACAGATAAAAACATGGAAGCAGAGAGAGGTTAAGTAACTCTCCTAACCTCACACTCTTTGTGAGTGGCAAAGCCATGATTTGAACATAGGCAGGTTGACTTCAGAATCCATGCTTCTGTCTGCACTCTCTGTGGCCTCCACAAAATGGAAATCACTTTTTGTGTGTGCTTCCAACATTGTACTAAGAATTTCACTTAAAATGATTTTGCTTACTCTTCACAGCAATCCTAAGAATTAAGCACTATTACTATCTCCATTTTATAGTTGAGCAAACTGAAGCAAAGAATAGCTGGAAGACAGGAATAGGGGAGTGGTGTGAGATGAGTCCAGAGAAGCAAGACTTTTGTTCTACTGTTAGAGCAGCAAGGAATCATAATAGTGTGTGAATCAGGGCTCACCCAATCAGACTGGGTTTTCTTTCTTTTTTTTTTTTTTTTCCTCCAGATTGGGTTCACTGGGAGCTGCATGGGGAGTGTGTGCAGGGAGGGGCTGCAAAATGGGAGTGGGGATATCAGATACCAGTCTAATATCATGCTGCAGTGACCACCTACCACAGGTGGCCATCCAGTGATGAGTCGACAGTAGCCAAATGGCCCAAGAAGTACTAGCATCTGGGGCAGCATCTGTGTGCCCGGGACAGAACTCGAGGTGTTTATAGTATTTACACTTTTCAGAGGAAACCCGAGTGTCCAGAGGTTGAGTCCCTTGCCTGTGCTCGCCCAGCTAGAAGGTGCTTCCTCGCAGCCACCAAGCCCACCCTCCTTTTTCAAACCCCATGCAGATTGAGGCCTTCAGTTGCTGGAGGGCTGGCTTGACAGCCTTGAAAATTGAATTTAACAATTCCTTCACCATCCTCTGTCTTCTCGGAGTTGGATAGAAATCAAGGAGATTTAGTGGACAATGTTGATAGATGAGTTTCTGTTATCATATATCGTTAGGTCTTTTAATAGTTTCTCTTTCAGTGTAGGTTAACTTTTCCTCAGATTTTTGCATGTTCCTCTGAGGTTACTCTGTGAATCTTTATAACTACTCTCTTGTCTGGCTAAAGGGCGAGTTCAGGGCCCTCTGTCTTCTGTTCTGCTATTAACTGCCCTCTCTCCCTGCAGATCCGAGTGATGGTGGACCTCTGCAACAGCACCAAGGGCATCTGCCTGACAGGTAGGCAGCTTGGCACTGAGCAAGCGGTGCTTGCACGGCAAACACATGTGTGAGCCCAAGGGCCAACACCGAATGAACACCTAGAAACGCTGTGGGTTATAAAAACACATGTTGGTTTACTTTTACCAGATGTTTTTCATAAGCTGAAAACCCATCATAATGTAATTATGAAAAATAATATTTTTGTTATTGCCAGAGAAATATAGCCCTGGAAAATAACTAGGTCTTGGATAATTAGAAACGTGTGGTACCTTGAACCAGGGCCATTGGTGTTTTCCTTATTCACGTTAGTTTTTAAAAAAGAAAAGATAGAAAGGGATATTCTCTTACCAGAAGCAATTATTTCCTTCCATCTTACAGAGGGCATGCATGGAAAGTTCTAGAAGAGAACTGCTAATTAGCCAAGAAAACACCCTTTATGAAGAGTGCTCTATGTGTGGTGTCTACTGTGTGCTAGATGAGAGGGAGGTTATGTCACGGCTCCCCTCCACTCAGGAAATCAAACGAACATGAGGGAGGAAGGGAATCAACCAGGAGGTGTTTCAAGCGAAGGGCCACAGAATGGCTAATGGGTTGGACGGGGGAGGAGGATAATGCTGTTGGTTTGATCATGTACACCTGAGCCTCAAGGTGTCCTGCCTCTTGCCTGAGGGGAGAGGTGCCTGCCTCCTGGTTTCAGAAGCCTAGGGCAAGGAAGAACATAGATCCCAGAATGGTCACCCAGTTTGTCGTACCCCAGATCAAGAAAGGCCCTGGCCGGGCCCCAGGATGGGCCCGTGGAGCCTGATTTCAGACCACAGCATTTCCTGCCTCTCCCCCATTCTGAGAAAATGGGGAAATGATTTTTGCAAAGTCTAATATGGAGTAAATGCACAGTTCTCGTGAGCTCGAAAACATAACCGCAAGACTTTGAAGCCAGATGAAGCTTCTGTTGAACGTTCTCAGTCTCTGGCCTCAGGGCCCAGGGAGGGCCCGGTTCACAGGGCGCCAGTGGCGGAGGCTCCGAAACCCTGCAGTGTGCATCCGGCCATAAGCAACCTTGTCCCCATGACCCCTCGTTCCCTGCCGCGTGTTAGGAGCTCTGTGTGAGTTTGCTGAACCACTACACCTATGGTTTATGTAGCTGATTAAATCGGGGGTGGTGGGCTGGTAAGGCAGACACTTCCCTGGGGAACCCTGAGTCCAAGTCTGCCGCTTGTGGGGTTAGTCTGATTTTAGAGAGAAAAGCTGTAATCCTGTGGCTTCTTGGGAAATGCTAATTGAATTACTCCAGTCACATTTAGGCCCTCACAGAAAATTAAATATTTTCAGGACAGCCCAGCCCTTCATTCTGAAACTCTTGTGTCTTAAGCACCTTCCTTCCATCTTTGGAAGGCCTTTTCAGAGTCCTCCCCTGTGACAGTAATGAGTGCCAGAGATGTGCTCAGATAGATGGAATTAGAGGCACAAAAGCCCTGTCGAGAGGCACAGGAAAAGCCTCTTCCTTTTTGATATTTATTATAGAAGTGGTAGGAGGAGAGCCAGGCTGCTCAGTGAATGCAGATGGAGCTGTCAATACCACTTAGGGAAGACTGAGGGGCGGCAGGCATCGCATCTGTGCTGGAAATGGGTTGAGGAGGCTATTCTTTGGCACCTCGAAATCTTGTCAAAAGCCAGCACCTTCTCCTTTCCTGCCAGCTTGAAATCGGGCCCCCTTTTACCACAGCAGGCTCTTCAATTCCAGCTTCGGTGTGAGAAGTACAAGTTGCAAAGCGAGGCAGGTCCACCGGGGTAGACTGAACTGCCTGGTCTGGGGGCAGGAGGGCGACAGGACCCAGGACTGGACTGGCCACTACAGGAGGACGGGCACAGAGCCCTGGTCCAGAGCCCCAGGAAGATGCTGGCAGGGAGGGCGGCCAGAGCAGACCCCGGGCGTGGGGCCTGGAGCCTGAGAACAAAATCTAGCTCTACCCTAGACTCTTCTTTGAAAAAGCAGGTGCTCTGACTGGAGGCTAGTTTAGATGTGACCAGGAAACCCCATCCCTGTTCCTTTTACTCTGTGCAGCTGTGGTTGCTATGGGGACAAGGACAGATGTGTGCAGCCTGTAACTCCTCAGGCAAATAGTGAGGGCAAGTCGGTAGCTAGGGTAGTTAAGAGTTTTTGTGTGCACCTCAGAAAACAGCATGCTTTTCTGGATGTATGCTCTCCTTAAGTCCAGATTTCCTTGGGATCTCAGAAACAAATATTTTGGAATAGCAGGTGTCTTGAAGAAGGCAGGTTCTTGGGTAATTCTTTCCTGCCAGTGGATACTGCATGTGGGCTTTTTGGAAAATCTCTAAACTGTCATGTTAGTGAACTGCTTCTCGGGGTAGAGGCGCTTCAGATCCACAGTGCCTGTCCTCTTTACGGCCACGTGACTCTGGCACTAGTCACCCCTCCTTATCCTGTACCCAGGTAGACATTAAGAATGAATCACACCCGCCACTGAGCAGAGCCTCCTGTAATTCTTTCCTGGCATTCCAGAAGGCGGTACTCATTGATTAGAATTGGCACTCGAAATAAAACCTACCTGCCATCCTGACTGTAATTCTTTAAAGCTGCCAAGTCATGGTCCAAAGTTGAAATGCACCAAATACATGGGATGGGACCAAAGATGCAGTTTAGCAGGGACGTATGAGGAAAGGTGCCTTGCCAAGTTAGGTGCCCTGGGACTGGCCCACTAGTTGGTGGCGGGGGCAGCCGCAGAAGGTGCACCGGCACTCGTAGGGTGGGGATGGGGCCTCAGGGCTGTGGCCAGTACAACATGTGGTAAACTGACAGGCTGGTCTCAGAAACAGCTGGTGGAGCTGGTCGTGTTCTCACTCAGCCGGCCTCACTGAGCAACTTGTCTGTTGTGTTAGAGTTGGGAGATTCCAGCCCCACGTGTGAGAGCTAAGGCCCTCTCAGGCCATCCCTGAAGGACAGCCAAGGATTCCTGACTCCCAAGGGAAAGGGGAGCCACACTCCCTTTGGCTGGAGCTCCCGTCTGGCCTGAATCCCAAGCCCCGGGGAGTCCCTTCCCGGAATAGGAGAGGAATCGAATCAGGTCTATGGACCTCACACCTCATGGGTGGGCCGGGGGCGGGCGCCAGGCCTGGCCTGATCAGGCTGATGAAGCTGTGTCTTTTACTAGCTCTTTCTTTTCTTTTCTTTCTTTTTTTTTTTTTTTACTAGCTCTTTCTAAAGCAGCAGAACCAGACCTCACTCTCTGACAGGATGCTGTTTGCATTTTTTTTATTTGGGGGCTTCTTTGTTTTCCTCTAACAGAGACTTTGGGAAATGTGTCCCCATGGCCCCTGTGGTCACTGCTGCGCTCAACAGGTGTCTTGGGTCTGACAAGGCCAGTGGGACCCTGCCCTGGGGTGAAAGGGGAGTGAAACCGTCTCCTGTGATCTGGAATGACCGAGTCGGGGGGAGCCCGGGGGGGCCAGGGCCCCGACTCAGAGACTGGAAATGAGGCTCACACTTCTTTATTACTCCTTCCTCGTATCTGCTGTGAAATGCTTCTCTCTGCTAGTAGCAGACGCCCGCTAGAACTTATCTGAGAGGAAAGAAAGGTGAAGGGGTTACCCATGACTGTAAGGATAGAGGGGTGTATTGGTCAAGATAGGGGCCCGGGGGGCAATGAAACCTTACCATCCCAGGGGCCTAACGCAGCAAAGTCCGGGACAGTCCGCGTTGGTTCTGGGGACCGCGCGGTCCCAGTGCTGCCATCTCGTGGTCCCATCGTGTCAACGCCAGTCACCGCCTCTGCTCGTCATTCTCTGCAGAGGGCACCGTTTTACCTGTGGGCCGGCCCTCCTCCGTCTGTCCGTCTGTCCGCAGCCCTCTAACTTACATAACTAGGGGCGTTGTGGGCCGGTCTTAGATTTCAAGGAGAGAAAAAGACTCCAAGTGGCTCAGCTCCTATAGCACCTGCCCACTTGTAACGGATTCTGGTTGGGAAGGCGGGAGGGGCCGTCAGAGCCCCAGGCCTTTGCAGGCCCCGTGCAAGATGAAAATGCCGGGGCCCCTTGTTCAAGAAGCAGGAAAAGGACTTCCTCCTTTCTTAGAGGGCTTTACTCTCCACCTGCTATGGCGGGGCTTTTTATTTGCTATGTAGTGTCACACGGCTCAAGGCGTGGGATGCTCACCAAACGAGCACAGGCTCTCACGAGCACAGGAGACCCCACTCTGTGACGAAGGCATGCAACGCACGTGTCCACCCCGGGCTGCCCTGCACTCGCAGCCAGGCCTCCACGAATGTGGAAGGTGACAGCAGTCACAGACTGGGCGGGGAGTGGGGCAGATGACTCAGAAGCAAGAGAGGCAGCAGAAAACTTGTCCTGGGGAGGCCGGGAGGCAGTAGGAGGCTGGGCCACATATGAGCCAAGGCTCCAAGTCCCCAAGACATGCTCCATGATCCCAAGGGGCCAGCCCTCCTTCCAGTGCCAACGTGAGGTTGGTTGTCCAGTGTATCCCGAGCGGTTCTGTTATGCAAGAAGAAAAGAGTCAAGAGCTGAGAAAACAACCTGAGAAAACAGTTTTCTATCGGCCCAGTTGGCACATATTATTTGACCTTTGACATTAGTATAACAACACATATTTAGGGTTTCTTTCAGGCGCCAGGGCTCCTGGGCAGCTCTGTCGGTATCCCGAACAGGCATTGGGTTCAAGGCTCGCCATCACTATAGCATCCTGCTTTTGAGCTCTTTGAAAGTTTTGTCTCCTTTCTCTTCTGTAATTCTCTTCTCCATTAGTTTCAGGGCTCAGGACCCCCTGGATTCCCTCCTATATCTGCAGTTCACTCTCTCTTTCCTGGTGCCTCTCCTATCACTGGCCTCCTTCCAGATATGATGTGTGTCCCCCTTCTCTCCATCCCCAAATTTGGCTCGACATTTTACTCTTGCCTCCAGATTAATAACTCTCAGGCTTTCTAGGGTCAGGGGCCCCTTTAGGGGTCCATTGGTAGTGACCAGTTCTTTTTCCAGACAAGTTCCAAGTCTGGTCACAGGTACCCAGGACCATCTGCTTCCAGTCACCTGTGGTGCCTGGTGAAAATGCGTGTCCCTGGGGCTCACTCTAAATCCAAGTAAAATTAGAATCTCCAGCTGGGGCCTGGGTATCTGCATTTTAACAATTATTCTAGGTGATCCTGTGGACTCAAATGACTAAGAACTGTAGCCATAGGTGTCAAGGAACCTCAGGTCAATGTCAGGAAACCCTAATCTAGACATTTCACCATAGTGACACTCTTGGCCATGGCAAAAGTGTCCTAAATATACAGCTCTGGCCAGGACCTCTCTCCAGTACTCCTGCTGCATGGAAATGGTCCTCAGATCTCTTGAAACGTATATAGATGGCCAATTCCTGCCTGTTTACCTTTTTTCTACCTTTTTTCTGCACATCTGAATTTGGCTCCATCTGTAGTCAGGAATGATGATTGATTTCTTCTGTAGTCTATCAATAGGTCACATCACCTCCTTGCCTGTGTATGTTTTTTATTGTTGTTAAAGATTTTATTTATTTATTCATGGGAGACACAGAGAGACAGAGAGGCAGAGACACAGGCAGAGGGAGAAGCAGGCTCCATGCAGGGAGCCCAACGTGGGACTCCATCCCGGGTCTCCAGGATCATGCCCCAGGCCGAAGGCAGCGCTAAACCACTGGGCCCCGGGGGCTGCCCGCCTTGCCTGTGTATGTTGAAGCATGTGTACACACACATACATACACGTGCCATCTGGTGGTAAAGTCATGTAGCAGCCACAGGCTACCCTGACCCTAGACAATGTGGTGCCATTCTCAGCAAATCATTTTTGCCCAAAGTGGGACTGCATGTATTGAAAGCATATGTTCAAACTCTTCTTCCAAGAATCCTCATGTCTCTTTCCATCAGTATCCTTGGTTCCCCATCATCTGAGATTCCTCCTCATTGCCCCTTGATTTTACCCAGACATGGAGCCCTGCTCATTCTTCTGCTGAAATACCTCTTAAACTTCTAGTTTATTCTACAACTCTACAGTTCCCAGACAATTTATCCACAGCCTTGCCCCTAATTTTAACTACAAAGATACTCAGGGTGTTTTCTCTTCCTCTCTCTCATCTTTTTCCCTAATTTATTTAACTTCCATCTACAGGGAGGATCTCAAAAACACACTGATTTCACAGTGTTATCCCCCATTTAAGACCTAGTGTAGCTCCCTACTGCCTTGCAGATACCACCTATGCCTCTCTTCTTGGCATTCAAATGCTGCTGCCCTGCATCCTCCCCACCAAGGACTTACTCAGCCTCATCTCTGCATATGCCAGGTTGGCCAGTCTTCCTCCTTTCTCTCACCCTGAATCATGTAAGTTCGCACCCTGTGGCTTTGTTCCTGCTGGTGTCCTACCTGGGCTGCCAGGCCCATTATTTCTTCAGGGCCACAGCTCTAGGCTCACCCTCTCTGGACGCCTTCTCAGCCTGCCGTGTGCCAGACTGCCCCGGGGCACCTTTGAGGCACTGCTTCTCTGTAACTCCCTCCCTCATATTTCATTGTGGTTTCAGAGTGTCTACCTTCTCCAGCTAGATTGTAAACACAACAGACACACGGATCAAGACTTCTGCTGTTTGGCAGATTTTAGTGCGTGTAGTAAGTGCTTAGTAAATGGTGGTTTTAAAAGTCACATACTTGGATTTGTAGAAAGACCTTTCTACTCCAACATGGGTGTCATTATATATGTTCTAGAGAAACAAAAGGACCTCAGCTTCTCATGTCACAAACCCATTGGCTTGTCTGAGTGCTTAAATAAAATAATTGACAAAAAGCGTCTCCTATGTGTGGAAACAAAATTGTTTTGTTAGATTATGTGTAAATGGTTCATCTGAACCCCTTAGATCCTCAGGTAATTATACACTAAGCAAGGTGTTTGTTACCTGATCTGGCCCCTCAATTGTTCTCAGGCTATTTCATGCAACAGAATAGAAACCTGAGAACCAGCTCTGCTTTCAATCCCCTTGGTGGCCTGGAGGGGATGAGCTGGCTGGGTGAGAGCCCTTGGGACTGCTTTCTCACGACAGCCAGGTCTCAGCCCTGCAGTGACAGCATGCCCATGATGCTTACCTGTGCCAGGGCCACACCAGAGCCCTCCTGCCTTGTTACCAACCTCATTAATGAAGCTAATTGCTTGATTGATGACTGATTTACGAATCTATGGTGAAGCCCACTCAGAAATTATTCTTAGTCCATGGAAACCTGAGCAAAAGTGGTTTGGACTGGCTAGTTGCTTTTAAGGATCTTTTAAGTGAATATTCTGGGTTCCAAATAAAAGGCATGGAGCCTACGCTTAGAACCAGTAGATAATCAATACTTATAAGGGGGGAAGGTGCTCTTTGATTGAGGGGTTATGGTGCTGACTTTGCTTCCTTCCAGCCATGCTTTTTCATCTAAATTTCTTTTTCTATTGCAGGACCACCTGGCCCACCAGGTAAGAACCCATGGATTGTCCTACTTTGTGGGGAGGCTAGTTCCCTAGGACCCCTCAGAAGGGACTGAGGTGGGAAATGGGGAAGAATCTGGAGGCAGCCTTGACTATGAGTGTGTCTCCCTCCTTGTCTCTACCCAAATCACCAGCTCTCCTGTCTCCTCCCACTTGAGAACTTGCCATCAGCCTTCCCTGTCTGTCACTGCATTAGGTGGGGACAGCAAAGGTGGAAAAGGCAGGAGAAGATCTGGAAAAGGCATTGATGCCTGTCCAATTTCACTGGCTCAAGAAAATCATGTTAACTTCAGTGGAGATGTTTTAAGACATGCTTACATTCCATGTTTTGATGCAGGACCTGCGGGAGTTGGCGGGTTACCAGGACACAATGGCTCAGATGGACAGCCTGGCCCCCAGGGCCCAAAAGGAGAAAAAGGAGCAACTGGAAAAAGAGGAAAAATGGGTATTTTGGCAACTTTTCTAGATAACTTACTGCTTATCTCAAATATTGCTTTTTGGCTGGGCCAAAGCTGGACATAGAGGAGAGAACATGTTGCGTCTTTACATGCAGGACTGGTTTAATTCTCTCCTGGAAGCTGCTGTGTGCTGAGGCACCGAGGGCATTCTTTTGAGTGCAACACTGGTTTATATCTAACCAGAGAGTGGCCTCCTTGGGAACTGATTCCCATCTTTCTGCTTGCTCTGAGGCAGGCTGACAGGTGGAAAAGGCGGGAGCAGGGAGCCCTGGGGAGGGACCCTCCAGGAGCTGTGTGGTGGCCCTGTGTGCTGGGGTCCCTAGTTCTTTTGAAGCTCAGGTCTTGCCCTGCGCTCTCACTACCTCCTGCCCAGCAAATCCTTGTGTTTGACTGGAAATCAACTGATTGATGTCAGTCCCTGGGTTTTCTGGGCTAGAGGAATAGCTAGAACCATCTGAGTAGCAAGGTAGCATCCAGCCTCCCTTAGGCTGGTTGGCACTCAGATCATGTGTCCAGGCAGCACAGGATGATGACACAGTTGCAGCTGGCATCTCTGAAGGAGTTCTGTTGCTCTGCCGTGAGTGGCACCATTGCCATCACCCAATCAAAGCCCTGGAAACACCAGTGTCAGATGTGTCCAGGGAGCAATGAGAAGCCGGGGCTCATGCAAGACCTGGCGGGAGGCTGCAGGACAGGGTAGGTAAGTTCTGAAGGGCTTTGAGCACCGATCCTGGGGAATCCCTGGAGAAGGCCTGGGAGATGCACCTGAAGTAAGCTGGCACATGGCCCGGTAGAGGCTCCAGTGCAGGGAGTAGAGAGACTCCCCCAGAGGTCTCTGGGAAGGCCTGGCCTCTGGGAAGGCCTGTACCCACAGAGGGTACAGACTGTACCAAACCCTCCTGTTTATTTTCAACTTCTTAGGTTGCTACACCAACTCACCTAGATAGGCCCTGGACTAGAATAACTACTAGAACATTCTTCCAGATGGCACAGTAACCTCTTCAAGCACCTCTGCTCTTATTACCATAAGCACTCTACACTTGATCTTAGCCAAAAGGCCGAGAAGTGATACCATAAGCACTTTAAATAAGAACTGGCGGAAAGGGGGGAAATTGTTAATTGGCTCTGCCACTTGCTCATGTTCCCAGGGGGCAGCCTCTGTTGAAGTGGGCCCACATGGTCCAAGTCAGCTCAGTCCTCCAAAGGCCAGCCATTACAGCTTTAATTACGGAGCAGTAATGGATCCTTACATGTTGGATAATAATCATAATTATGAATGAGCGTCAGCGTTGAATAATGATGGCCCTCAGTGTGCAGACATTTGGTTTATCCCAGAAAGGCCCCAGAAATGTAATCTAGTCCTGAGGATTCAGCAATGAGTATTGTGAGGGCCAGCTCTGAGGGGGAGAAAACCACCATGCTAGCACTGGGTATGGAGCAGGTGGGAACGGGGGTGATTTTCAAAAAGTTTACAGAGCCCTGGCTTTGAAGAGGTGTGTTTGATATGCAGCCCACGACCCAATGAAGCCAGGAAAGAAAAAGTTCATTCATCTCTGTAACACCTTTGTCTGCGCCACGTGCTATTCTAGATGCTGGAGATCCAGAATTGAGAATGCTGACAAAATCCTTACCTTTGTGAAACTTATATTCCAACCCAGGCTAGATTGCCAATGAACAAGCTAAATCAGTGGAAAAGAATCATGTTACGTGGTGCTAAGTGCTACAGAGAATATGGTGGCAGGAGAGGGAATGACAAGTGTGGGGTGGGGGTAGGGATGAACGCCAGGGAAGTCCCCCCACCCAGAAGGGACCTTTGAACAAACACCTGGAGGGAGGGAGAGAGGGAGCTGTGGGCTATTTGGGGAAGGGGCTTCCAGCAGAGTGTGTAGGTGTCCAGTGTCCCCACAGGGTCTGAGGAACAGCAAGACAGCCAGGGCGGCCGACAGAGGGGAGCCAAAACGAATGAGTTGGAGTTGAAACCAGAGAGATAGCCCTGGAATGAGGTTGGCCCCGGGCACCTTAAGAGCTGTGGTTTGTACTCAGGGCAAGCTGGGAGGATTGGCAGCAGTGCAGAGAGCTGCCCTGCCTCACCAGGAAAGGATCACCCAGCACCCAGGCCGAGGGAGGCTGCGACAGGGCAGGGGGAGGCAGTGGCGGAGCAGGGAGAGGGGGCCTGATCTGTTCTTCAGACCAAATCCTTGGTCTCCTAGAGGTCCCATGGGATGCCCTCTGCAGCTGTCTCCCAGTGAGGGGGGCCTTTGGGAGTCAGCCCCACTAGGAGAAGCTTCCCACTAAGGTTGAGCAGAGAACTTGTGCAAATGCTAAATCTGCATTATCTGAGAGCCTGGTGCTAGGGAGAGGTTGTTGGAAGCTCTGCTTGGCTGGCCATGGGCCAGCTCAAGCTCCGACCCGGACCACGAACACCCACGCGAGGGTCCAGTCACCCGGCCAGAGCCCTGACGCTGTGCTTTCCCTCCTCTGCATCCTTCCTTAGTCCTAGGGTTGGTTCACATCCTACCCGCACCCAGGGTTCCAGCAGGGAGAAGAGAGCAGAGCTAGTCAGGGGCCTGGGCTCTCTGTTCTGAGAGCATGGAGAAGCCGCCGAGGGGTTGCAAGTAGGAGAGAGTGACGAAGTCAGGTCTGCTTCGCTAAAATGACACTGTGGCTGCTGCGTGGAAAGACAGCAGAGGAGCAAGGACAGAAGCAGGGAGCTGGTTCACAAGCTACTTGGTGTGTAGGTAGAAGGGATGGCAGGCCAGGGTATGGAGACAGCAGTGGAGCTGAGTGATATTCTGGGGGGAATCAGCCGTATCTGGGGGTGGGTAGATATAAGGAGGAAGGGGGAGGAGGGCCCCAAGACTGACTTTGAGAGCTCTGTCCTTGATGACTGCCCATTCCTGAGGAGGGGAGCCTCATACCAACTCAGGCCCAGGAAAACAAGCATGGCTCAGCATGAGATGTGCTGAGTCTGATGCCTTGAAAAGTCCTGGAGGGGATGTCGGGGGCCTTGGAGATGCAGGCAGGACTACAGTCAGAGGAGACCCTGGAGCTAGAGGTATATGTGAGGGGACCACCTGAGGTAGGGGCCATGTGAGCATGGACACCGTCACTTTTGGAGGGAGCTAACAGGAGAGGAGGGCCTGGGTTGAGCCCTGAGGAGCAACAACATCGAATGACCAAGAAGGAGGGGGATGAGCCAGCAAAGGAGGCCAAGAACAGGACTGAGTAACAAGAAGAATACCAGGAGAGAGTGGGAACATCTGTCAGCAAATATTGAGCAGGTTCCCAGCAATAGTGGGGAAACAAAACAGATGCATCCCATCTTCTGGAACTTTCCATCTTTGGTGGGAAGGCAGAAATTAAAAGTCGATAATCAAGTATGTCTGCAATCACGATGTGAGACACCCATTTAAAGGAAAGAACTGGAGGTTAAGAGACTCGGTCCAGAGAGGGAGGGTCAGGGAGGGAAAGTCAGACTGGAGGTCAGACTGGAAGGATGAGAGCAGGCAGGGGGTGGCCCAGGTGGAGCACACAGCACCTGCGGAGGCCCCACAGGTGTGGCTGTGGGAAGGGAGGTGGGGCTGGAGGCAGGGACCAGGCCCGTCCGGAGCCTTCTGATAAGTCATCTGGGTCTCCTGGTTAGCTCCCAGGAAGGCACTGCAGGGTCTCATACAGGATGTGACCTGGTGGGCCAGGATCATGTCTATGGAGAAGGAAGTGTTGTGGTTCCAAATGAGCATTCCAGGATCCTGGTTTGCCTGGCTGGGGTGGGAGAGAGGAAGAGTGGGCGTGCATTCCAGAAAGAAGGAACAACAAGTGCTATTTCTAAAAACAGGAAAAAGAGCCTGTGTTCCACAGAGACAAGACTCAGGCTGGACTGTGCCCTCTAGCAGTGATCCTCTGAACAATAGTATGCAAATAGCTAATATTTATTGTCAGGCATGCTACCGAGTACTCTCTATATTATTCTCATTTACTCTTCAAAACAACCCTAAGGAGATGCATATTTTTGTTGGCCTTATTTTTTCCAGATGAAGAAGGCCTATCTTTCTGTTTCTCAAACAGGCCAAGGTCTTTGCCCCAGGACCTTTGCACTGCTGTGCCCACTCCCTAGAATACTCTTTCCCTGTTCTTCTTGCAGCTGGTCCTGGTGCAGGTCTCAACTCTACTATCATCTCTCCTCAAGTTTGTCCTCAAGTTTGTCCCCGACCTTTGTGCCTAGCTCCTGCCTCACGAACATGGTCACATTCTCTCTTCTTCCAAAACACATATCCCTTCCCGGAAATTCTCTCCTTGCATTTGCTTGTTGATACACTGATGGTCTGACCCCCTAGGCAGAATTTGAAGTCCATGACAGCCGAGCCATGTAAATTTTGCTTAGTCCTAACCTGCGGGGCATGGAATACCCAGTGAAGGGGGGATGGGCAATAAAGTCTTTGTTGACATGAATGGACATAACTCGTCCAATGTCACAAAGGTAAGAAGTGGAGGACTCGAACCAGGTCTCTCTGACTCCCAGACCCCTGCTCTTAAACACAACTACACCGAGCTTCTAGGCTGGAGGGGCTGGCCCCAAGCTGTGGGAGCAGCATCGCTGGAGGTGCCACAGAGCAAGAGCAGACAGGCAGAAGGCCTGGTCTTGGGAGCTGGTGCCATTAAGTCTTACAGGGAGAGCCAGAGGCTGCCAGCCCTTCAGAAAAGCCTCCAGGACATGTGCAAGGATATGCACATAGTTCATATGCACAGTTTAGTGAATAATAGCCCGGCAGGCATGCAGAGTTGATTTTGCACCTCTTATTTCCTGCCCTCCAGGCAGAGGAAGGCAATGGAAGGAGTCCCAGAATCACCTGCCTTGGGTCCCAACTAGCTCTGAGGCCTTGGACAGGTCACTTCACCATCGAGGCTTGGTCTCATCTGTAGACTGAGGAGGTCGAGTTCCCACAACTCTGACATGGTTTCCATTTTCTAAATAGTCTCCTCCAGTGCT